CAGTATCTCCTCCTCATTTGTTGGTCACATGACGTTATAATTGATTTTTTTTTTGGTGGACTAAATGGACATACAGCATAAATTCATATTTTGCACTCACAAAAGTTGAACCTATTATCTGTTTCTGTGTTTATGACTTACTTGTGTCCGTATGTAGAGAAGATTCCTCCTGTTTACTCTTCACCATCATCTCCCCCTCCTCCATAGACTGCTGAGCTCCTCCCACCAACGTCTCTTCTTCTTCCTCTTTCACCTCAACTTTCATGTCTTCCTGTTCTTCACCCTAAACCCCGAAGATGACGGAACAGATATGTGACCGGGAAGAGATTACATCGAGGAACGTCTCCTCATAGCTTAGAATACATCTTTATATCTACACGCCGAGTCCCACCTACCTGATCATGGTGGGGGACGGTGAGATCCTCCTGGGTGGGATCCCGGGAATACAGAGGACGGGGACATCTCTCTGGTGGGTTCCTCTTAATGGATCCATCTGTAGGAGACACACAATGACTCAACGTCTCTTCTTCTTCTTTGACTTCATCTTTGACGTCTTTCATTTCTTCACCCCAAAGATGACGGAACGGATCTGTAAAAGGAAGGACAGTTGGATACATGGCTCTATATTTAGGATGTATCCGGTCTATAAATGGCGGCTCTGGATGGACAGTTGGATAAAGGGCTCTATATTTAGGATGTATCCGGTCTATAAATGGCGGCTCTGGATGGACAGTTGGATAAATGGCTCTATATTTAGGATGTATCTGGTCTATAAATGGCGGCTCTGGATGGACAGTTGGATAAATGGCTCTATATTTAGGATGTGTCCGGTCTATAAATGGCGGCTCTGGATGGACAGTTGGATAAATGGCTCTATATTTAGGATGTATCCGGTCTATAAATGGCGGCTCTGGATGGACAGTTGGATAAATGGCTCTATATTTAGGATGTATCTGGTCTATAAATGGCGGCTCTGGATGGACAGTTGGATAAATGGCTCTATATTTAGGATGTGTCCGGTCTATAAATGGCGGCTCTGGATGGACAGTTGGATAAATGTCTCTATATTTAGGATGTGTCCGGTCTATAAATGGCAGCTCGGGATGGACAGTTGGATAAATTGCCTTATTACCTCCACTTCGGCCAGTTCCAGCAATGTCTCCTCTCCGCTTCCTCCTCACTCACCTCTCACCCGGACCTTCTTTTTGTATACAGAAACATCACTTCCATTCTACCTCTGACTCTGGTTTTACTTGAGATCACTTCCTGTCTGTTGCTGACATCACTTCCTGTCTGGTGACATCACTTCCTTTCTGTGCATTCTTTGTAAGATCACTGCCTCAGTGCCTTGTGTTGAATGATAACAATACAGACTACATAAAGTTTCATCATTTTACTCACGGCCTCGTGGTTCATCCCGCTATTAGTGTGAGGATTTGAGGGACCAAGTTGTGATGTCTAGACGACTGGTTCAGAGCAACTCCAACACTGCAGCTCTTGTGGGATGTTCCCAGTCTGCAGTGGTCAGGACTGACCAAAAGTGGTCCAAGGAAGGAAACCCGGTGATAGGGTCATGAGCAGCCAAGGCTCCTTGATGGACGTGGGGAGGGAAGGCTCATATATTGGTGGGGAGGGAAGGCTCATTGATGGACGGGGGGAGGGAAGGCTCATTGATGGACGTTGGGAGGGAAGGCTCATTGATGAAATTCCATCATGAATTCTGAACGGGTAAACAGACTCCCGCCGGGACTCTGTTCATAATTATAGAGCCGGCGGCCAGCTCGGAGAATCTGAGGCTGGCGGGGGTTACAATGGTTCCCGGGGTTGTATCTCTGACTTCCTGGATCCGTATTGTTGGAGATGATGATGGAAGTGTCTACAGGATAGATTTGGGGTGATGAAGGTGACGCACTTCAGTCTTATACTAACCAGGTCTTTATTGTGGGGAACTTCCCGACCTCCTGGGCCTGTGTGAAAACTGTTTTCGGGGTGGTGTCACCTGCACACAACTCGATGTGACATCAGAGGGGTCATCAGATCAGCCAATCAGGAATCCTTTCAATGTTAGCCAATGGCAGTAGACTGTCTATGAAGGACAGAGGTCAACAAGTATCGGGGGAGGGGTCAGAGACATGAAGAGAGGAGGCACCTAGGAGCAGATCTAGATTGGACATATGTGGCGGGTGGGCGGAGTCTATATCCTTATGGAGTCTTTGAGGTCTAGATACACATAGAAAGGGACTCGCACGGCTTCTATTAGTATACGGTATATACTCTCCTGTGTTCTATTCATCTGGTTCTGGGATCCAATAAACACTCCGCACAGAACCGGGGTCACCTGATACATTCTACATCTTTCTTTTCCCAACACACATAACAATATATATATGTATACACCTTTTATTACTACACACATTACTTATGAGGGGACACCCCTCCCCCGAGGGGACACCCCCCCCTCCGGATTGTTATATTACAGAATGCTATATGAAAAACAAGAGGTATGGGGATGCCACAGAGTGTGGGGGGGAGCAGAGACTGTAACAGGCATACCCTACCATTGGAGCCTCCACGAAAGGAAGAAGCCTGTCAAACACCACTTATATACCTCATATCACTTGTCCCCGGGATGAACCCCCTTTATAAACAAATTCTTTATCCTCCAGTTGTCCTTTTTGGACTAAACGGTTCCACCTGTTACAAGGCATTGTACATTCGTCAAAAGAATCAGCAAGTGCGTCTCCTCCGATTCGGCTTTTCTCTGTAGAACGTTTCCCGCACTTTGAGGGCGCTCCGTGGCTCCGTGTGTTCTCTGGTGCCTCATAAGGTTTGATTTCCGAGTATAATACTTCCCACACTCTGAACACGGATGAAGACTCTCACTTCCCGCACTTTGATCGCAGCCAGGGCGCTCCATAGTGTGTATTTTCTGGTGCTTAAGAAGGTGTCCTTCCTGAGTGAAAGATTGTCCGCACTCTGAACATGGATAGGGGCACACACGCGTGTGGATTTTCTGGTGTCTGACAAGGTTTGATTTCCGAACGTAACATTTCCCGCACTCCGAGCATGAATAAAGATGCTCACCTTCCTCCTTTTTAACACCGTGAGGGCTCTCCCTACTGTGTATTCTCTGGTGCCTTATAAGGCATGCCCTCTCAATGAAAGTTTTCCCGCACTCTGAACATGAATAAGGACGCTCACCTGTGTGAATGAGTTGGTGTCTGAGAAGTTGTCCTTTTCGAATAAGACTTTTTCCACACTCTGAACATGAATAAGCGCGATCACACGAGTGAATCCTCTGGTGCTCAGAAAGTTTCCCCCTCTCGATAAAACTTTTCCCGCATTCTGAACACAAAAATGGGCGCACACCTGTGTGAATTTTCTGGTGCCTAACAAGGTCTGATTTCCCGATAAAACATTTCCCGCACTCTGAACATAAATAAGGACGTTCGCCGATGTGAATTCTCTGGTGTGCAATACATTTTACTTGGTCAGTGAAAGATTTCCCGCATTCTGAACATGAATATTGACCCTGATGTGTGTGAACTTTCTGGTGGGCGAGAAGTTTATATCTCTCGGTGAAACCTTTTCCGCAGTCAGAACAGGAATAGATATACTCACGTTTGTGAATTTTTTGGTGTTTAACAAGTCCTCCTTTAACTGTGAAACTTTTCCCACACTCTGAACATGCATAAGGGCGCTCACCCGTGTGAATTCTCTTGTGTTCAACAAGGCTGCTTTTCAGACTGAAAGATTTTCCGCACTCTGAACATAAATGAGGACGCTCACGCATGTGAGTTCTTTGGTGGTTCAGAAGATATCTTCTTCTGAGGAAACATTTGCCACATTTCAAACATGAAAAAGGGCGCTCATCCGTGTGAATTCTTTGGTGCAGAAGAAGTTTTCCTTTCTCTGTGAAACATTTCCCACACTCTGTACATGAATAGGGGCGCTCACCTGTGTGAATATTCTGGTGTTGAAGAAGGTTTCTTTTCTGCTTGAAAGATTTCCCGCACTCTGAACATGCATATGGCCGATCACCTGTGTGGATATTCAGGTGTTGAACAAGGTTTCTTTTCTGCTTGAAAGTTTTCCCACAGTCTGGGCAGGAATAGGTGCTCACATCCGTGTGAATTCTCTGGTGTTGAAGAAGTTTTCCTTGGTCAGTGAAACAGATCTCACATTCTGAGCATGAATATTGTTGCTTACCCGTGTGAATCCTCCGGTGTTTAACAAGGTCTCCTTTCTGAATGAAACTTTTCCCGCACTCTGAGCATAAAAATGGCCGCTCCCCTGTGTGAAGTCTCTGGTGTATAACAAGGGATCCTTTCCTAGTAAAACATTTCCCACACTCTGAACATGCCTTGGGATGTTTAATCATATGCCCTCTCTTGTGTCTATGAAGTGCTCTTATTTCAGTGAAACATTTTCCACACTCTGAACATAAATAAGGACGCTCTCCTGTGTGAAGTCTCTGGTGTATAACAAGTGTTCTTTTCGTAGTAAAACATATCCCGCACTCTGAACACGAATACGGACGCTCTCCCGTGTGAAGTCTCTGGTGTATAACAAGTGTTGCTTTCCTAGTATAGAGTTTCCCGCACTCTGAACATGGATAGCGACGTTTAGTACTATGCCCTCTCTTGTGTCTATGAAGTGCTCCTATTTCAGCGAAACACTTCCCGCACTCTGAACATGAATATGGACGCTCGCCTGTGTGTTGTCTCTGGTGTAGAAGAAGGCCTCTTTTCCTAGCATAACCTTTCCCACACACTGAACACGAATACGGACGCTCTCCTGTGTGAAGTCTCTGGTGTATAATAAGGGTCCATTTCCTAGTATAACTGTTCCCGCACTCTGCACATGAATAGACACGTTTAGACCTATGCTTCCTCTTGTGTCTATGAAGTGCTCCTATTTCAGTGAAACTTTTCCCGCACTCTGCACATGAATATGGCCGCTCTCCTGTGTGATCTCCTTCAGGGCTTACAGAAGGTTCCTCAGGATTAGACGGATCTCTTGATCTCTCGGCACTGTGAGGACCTTGATGGACATCTGAGGTCATGTGACGTGATGGATCAGAAGGTTCCTCAGGATTGGACGGATCCATCGATCTCTCTGAACGGGAAGAATTGACTTTGGGAGAATGTTGCGCAATGTCGCCGTCTTCTGCTTCACCGTCTGGAGATATAATAAGACGTCCCTCCGATGTCTTTATATTCCACTTCTGTACATCTGTGAGAAAGTAATGATGAGTACATGTTATATTTGTATCCGTCTTCCCTTCAGGGGTCGTATCTATCCTTCAGGGGCCGTATCTATCCTTCAGGGGTCGTATCTATCCTTCAGGGGCCGTATCTACCCTGCAGGGGCCGTATCTATCCTTCAGGGGTCGCATCTATCCTTCAGGGGTCGTATCTATCCTTCAGGGGCCGTATCTATCCTTCAGGGGCCGTATCTATCCTTCAGGGGCCGTATCTATCCTTCAGGGGTCGTATCTATCCTTCAGGGGACGTATCTATCCTTCAGGGGTCGTATCTATCCTTCAGGGGGTCATATCTACCCTTCAGGGGTCGTATCTACCCTTCAGGGGCCGTATCTATCCTTCAGGGGTCGCATCTATCCTTCAGGGGTCGCATCTATCCTTCAGGGGCCGTATCTATCCTTCAGGGGCCATCCATGAGACCGGTGAAATGGTCTGAGCTGCACATAGAGGAAGGGAGTGATAAGGTTCGGGGATCTGTAGGCTGCAGGGGTTGCTGATGGAGAGAACAGGTGGGGGGTTGGGTTTGGTACTGAGGTGTACTGGCCATGACCCGTGTGTGCTGGAGGGCCAATCTCGGATACATTCACCACTGCTGGCAAAATTCCCCTCCCCCTCTGCCTCAAACAAGAGACTGCACACGACTAACCAAAGAAAAGCAGTTCCAGAAATCACAACGGGGGCGAGGTAACCAATTCCCAAAAAGGGTGAAGAGTTTGGAGAAGGAAACGATTCTCCAATTCTGGTCACTTTCCAGGTCAGCTATGTTGTCCACTTCTCTGGCCTTCTCCAAACTCTTCACATAGCTGTTTAGTGTATGTGACCCTACAGAAACCTGTCAGAGACTGTGGACACCCTACAAGAGATGGTCAGACCTTCATATGGTGTACAGTATCTCCTCATTTGTTGGTCACATGACGTTATATTGGGGAATGGAGATGGACCTTCATATGGTGTCCAGTATCTCCTCCTCATTTGTTGGTCACATGACGTTATATTGAGGAATGGAGATGGACCTTCATATGGTGTACAGTATCTCCTCCTCATTTGTTGGTCACATGACGTTATATTGGGGAATGGAGATGGACCTTCATATGGTGTCCAGTATCTCCTCCTCATTTGTTGGTCACATGACGTTATATTGAGGAATGGAGATGGACCTTCATATGGTGTCCAGTATCTCCTCCTCATTTGTTGGTCACATGACGTTATATTGAGGAATGGAGATGGACCTTCATATGGTGTACAGTATCTCCTCATTTGTTGGTCACATCATGACGTTATATTGGGGAATGGAGATGGACCTTCATATGGTGTACAGTATCTCCTCCTCATTTGTTGGTCACATGACGTTGTGTTTAGTGTTTATGACTCACTTGTGTCCGTATGTAGAGAAGATTCCTCCTGTTCACTCTTCACCATCATCTCCCCCTCCTCCGTAGACTGCTGAGTTCCTCCCACCAACGTCTCTTCTTCTTCTACTTTTACCTCAACTCTGATGTCTTCCAGTTCTTCATCCTAAACCCCGAAGATGGCGGAACAGATATGTGACCGGGAAGAGATTACATTGAGGAACGTCTCCTCATAGCTTAGAATACATCTTTATATCTACACGCCGAGTCCCACCTACCTGATCATGGTGGGGGACGGTGAGACCTTCCTGGGTGGAGTCCCGGGAATACAGAGGACGGGGACATCTCTCTGGTGGGTTCCTCTTACTGGATCCATCTGTAGGGAACAGTTATGGGGGATGATTGAGGATCTACTTGGGACCCTTAGTCTACTCTTTCCAATAATCCAAATGATCTTCAGCATTTCAGAAGAATGTGACCAGAGACAACCTACATCCTTCTACTGAGATGTGTTGTAGGACGTCTACTAGGAAGCAGCCGAGCAGAATGTGAGTCGGTTGTCTATATAACATTCACACTCACCTTTGGTGATATCCGGAGAAGACTCCTCCTCTTTTCCTGTCATCATCCCGGCCTCCTCCAATGGCTGCTGACCACCCCTCACGTCGATCTCCTCCTTTTCTTCTTCTTCTGCTTTACTCTCGGCTTTCATATTCCCCCGATCCTCACCCTTCCATCACAAAATATTACGGAAGAACTTTATTAGACTACGAGACACGAAATTCATCTCATAACACCGAAGAATGAACTGTTCCAGATGTCGAGTACCACCGACCTGATCACGTTGGGCATAGTTGTGATCTTCCTGGGTGGGATCCCGGGAATACAGGGGGCGGGGACATCTCTCATGGTGGGGGATGGTGTGATCTTCCTGGGTGGGATCCCGGGAATGTAGAGGACGGGAACATCTCCCTGGTGGGTTCCTCTTACTGGATCCATCTGTAGGAAACACACACACTGACTGAATACATTGTTTCTATGTGTGTATCAGATGATGGGGGATGTAGGCGGAGCCTCCGTACTGCTCTCTCCTCTTACCCGGTGATGTGAGGGGCGGGGCATTCTCCATCACCACGTCCTTGTAGAGATCCCGGTGTCCTTCTAGATACTCCCACTCCTTGGGGTCTTGGTTGTGCTCTATACCTTCAGTCCCATCTACCTGATCATGGTGGGGGACGGTGAGACCTTCCTGGGTGGGATCCCGGGAATGTAGAGGACGGGAACATCTCCCTGGTGGGTTCCTCTTACTGGATCCATCTGTAGGAGACACACAATGACTCAACGTCTCTTCTTCTTCTTTGCCTTCATCTTTGACGTCTTTCATTTCTTCACCCCAAAGATGATGGAGCGGATCTGTGAAAGGGAAACAAGAACGCGAGTCATTATCTGCCCC